AGCCAAAGCTGAAAGCTGCCATAAAGCAGAGAGAGAAGAACTAAGTCAGGTTTGAAAGGGCAGATGCCCACTAACATACCTAATGATAGATATTGTGAACTGAAAGTCATGCTGGGGATTAAGAGCAGAATAACAGGAACAAAGCAGAAAGGGAGATCTATCCTTACCCCCGAGATGTTTGCAGACACACTGAGAAGAAGCAGAGGGGTGTCAAAGAAAAAAGCTACTTCAAATATGCTTGAGAAACGGCCTCAGTTAGATTGAGACATCCAGATTTTTCTCCCCTGAATAATGAAATCTTTTTTCTTTAGTGCAAAAGTGTTTACTGTTTTATACTTTGCCTGCAATGAAAATTCCAAAAGAAAATCTTTCCCCTGACTGATACCTCCTGAAGGCTCAGGGGCAGCAGGTTCCAAAGAAGGAATTACACAAGAAGGACGCAATCTGCATAGCTCCGGCTTAAACTGTGCTGAGACCTCACAGCAAGTCAAACCATCCATCAGCTCCTTTCCAGTATAGCTGAAAATCACAGCTGTAAGGATTTCACTCCCTCCCATGGTGGCAATTCTGCAAACAAGCAGGAATCCACAAGACTTGCATAGACCAGCCAGGCAGAACCAGTGCCACCCTTCAAGCTAGAGCACATGGCAGGCCAGGGATTTTTGAAGCCTACGCCAGCAGAGGAGGAATGTCAGCAAGAATGTCGTGTGGTAAAGGCACATTGTCCTTTCAACAATCCTTCTCCCAGAGGAGGCCGCTAACCTGTGTGTTTCAGATTTACGTAATAAAGCTAAGGAGGTAACAGAGGTCCCATTTGCGACGTGACCAATAATCATGCGAGCAAGTTTTGCACGTTCATCTGTTCCATTGTCCTTTCAAAGAATGATGGCTATTTGTAAGATTTGCAGAAACCTGTGCTTTTAGATGAAGCTGTGAGCAAGCAATGAAAGAAATGTACCCAAACAGCTCTGACTTCAGACATGTGGCATTGTTCATGTGCTCCTCAAATGCCCATGGCCAGATTTCTCCTGATCGTGGGAGAGGTAACCACATACCAGTGCTGGAGAAGACAGTTGCTTACAGCCATGTCACAAAGCCATCCAGGATTTAAGTTCTTCTGGGAACACATCCAGAAGCATTCAATGGATAACTGAGAATCATTTACACACTCAGAGAAAAAGGGCCAAATCCTGATTATTCAAAATAATCAAGCCTAACAGGCAAATGAATGAGTGCACCTCAGAGGATGCACATGTCTGTTTTTCCTGGCTAAATCATGGGATAATCTTTCTACAGTATGACTATTTGTAACAAAGTAATGCCTTCTGCCTACAAGAACTTGGCTCTGTTTCATCAACGCGGGCTAGATCAAAACCTGTCTGTCTGACAACACTGGTGGCACAGGTTGCCCAGAGAGGTGGTAGATGCCCCATCCCTGGAAACAGTCAAGGTCAGGTTGGAATTGAATCTGAGAATCTTGATCTGGTTGAGGTCCCTGCCTGTGGCAGGGGGGTTGGAGCTAGATGGCCCTTAAAGGGCCCTTCCAACCCAAACTATTCTGTGATTCTATGACAAAGTTAACTGCAGTCTGCTCCGGGAAAGCTTACCTGTGGATGTCCTTAGTCACCCAGCTCCCTAACAGAAAGAGAAACCTTTTTTCCCTTCTTACTGCTGGAAACTACAATGTGGGCTATCTAGGGTCACATATTTTTAACTCTTAAGGTACTTAAGGACATGCTGCAATGAGGCACAGTCATTTTCAAACACACTGAGATAAGCTCACACCCAGCCCAACAGATTATGGAAATCCCAGGAAGAGTTTGCCTTCAGGGACTACAAAACCTATCTAGCTAACTTAGCTAACCTCTCTGAGGACGTCACATGAGAAGCAGAGACCTGTGAGAAACTCGCCTGTCCCACGCACCAAGAAGCACCATTAACTGCTCGTTCCATTACTCATGTCCACTCCTAACCAGCACATTCCTCTCCCCACCCGCTTTAGCTGATTCTCAGCTTTAGAGTACCAGTATTTTATTTACCCTCTAGCATGACCAAATTTCATCTTGCTAATGCCCTGGCTCCATCCTACTGTGTTTAAGGCAATCTCTGCAAAGGGGACCATGACCAAAGGACACAATCCATAAAGGGGGTGCAAAATTGGAGAGGAGACAAATGACAGTATAGAAAGGTCCACCTCATGGAAAGGCCATCCTCCCCTCAGTTCCCACACTCTGCCGTTCTCTCACACTGTAGCATCATGTTTGCCAAACTCCAAGTTGCATCTCTTCTTCACCCCATTTTCCCACCATGCTGCCTCAGCTTCCCTCATTTTGCCACCTCTGTGTCAAACAGCTTCCCCTCTCCGGTGCAACTTCACTTTCTAATCTTGCCTGGACAGGAACACTGAGCTTTCAACAAGGTCCTGCCAGTGAGTCAACAGCCACTTGCACAAGTGGTTGTGAGCAGGGTGTATTAAGTGATGTAAATTGATCTATTGTTTGCTTCAATCCGTGTGTGGTGAGAACTGATAAGAACAATACACTCCCCATAACACTTCTCCTCCACAGTATCAGCCTCTGATCTTAATCCCAGGAGTCAATGTCACAATCCATCACTGCTAATGAGTACGAGCTCCCCTAGGCAGGGGCCTTATCTCACTTGGTATCTAAAGGGCCATACAAGGTTATGGCAACAGTGCAATTAGGTAAAGGTTACATTGGCCTGAAAGTGCTAGCGCTTACTCTTTGGGAACACTTCTATGCTATCAGAGATCAGAGGAAGCAAAAATGAATTCCTTCTATATGCAACAACTCACATGTCTCTTCCTGGCACTTCCATTGCTGGGACCTTCCAATCCAGCAGATCCCAGTACCAACAACACAGAAAGAAATACTGCTGGCCTTGGGCATCTGCCAACGCAGGCATGTGCAAGTCCACTACCATGGACTTCTGGACGGCAGACTTTGCCCTGCTCAGGACACTGCTTGAGTCCTTTGGGAGGCAGTCCTGAAGGGCAAAGTGGTCCAGGAAGGCTGGGCATTCTTCAAGAAGGAAGTCTTAAAGATGCAGGAGCAAGCTGTCCCCATGTGTCCTAAGATGAACAGGTGGGGAAGATGACCGGCCTGGCTGAGCAGGGAGCTTTGGGTGGGACTCAGAGAAAAAAGGAAAGTCTACCACTCTTGGAAGAAGGGGCAGGCAACTGAAGAAGAATACAGGGATCTTGTTAGGTCATGCAGAAATAAAATTAGAAAGGCAATAGCCCTCCTAGAACTCTATCTGGTCACTGTTGTAAGGGATAAGAAGAAACGTTTTTACAAATACATTAACAACAAAAAGAGGGCCAAGGGAATCTCCATCCTTTATTGGATGCAGAGGGGAACATGGCCACCAAGGATGGGAAAAGGCTGAGGTACTCAATGCCTTCTTTGCCTTAGTCTTTAATAGTCAGACCAGGTGCCCCTGGGGCATTCAGCCCCCTGAGCTGGAAGGCAGGGACAGAGAGCAGAATAAACCTCCTCCCATAATCCAGGAGGAAGCAATTCATGACCTACTATGCCACCTGGACACTCACAAGTCTACGGGAGCTGGATGGGATCCACCTGAGAGTGCTGAGGGAGCTGGTGGAGGAGCTTGCCAAGCCACTCTCCATCATTTATCAACAGTCATATTAACAGGGGAAGTCCCAGATGACTGGAGGCTTGCCAATGTGACACCCATCTACAAGAAGGGCCTAAAAGAGGATCTGGGAAACTACAGGCCTCTCAGCCTGAACTTGGTGCCGAGGAAG